TGAAGTGCATTGTAAGGACATCATCAGGACGAGTGTGTGTGTGTGTCTGTATGCATACATACATACATATATATACTACCGGATTAATAATTGTAACAGCCGCCAGTAAAAGCAAAAAATGTGAAAATACTTCCATGAACCCTACAATGAAAAGCCAAACTAGTATTTAAAAATACTAGTTAATAACGGTACGGTTCGGGAAACATTTTGTATTTCTGTTTCATCGAAGTAGAAATTCAGAGTCATAAATGAACTGGTATATAACTAGTAGGCAATTGATACAAAATCGAGCAATTGGTATTTCGTACGAGAAAGCAGTGGTTCTCGAGTGCGTAGCAGTGCATGCTACCATGCGAGCGGTCGAAGCCTGCTCGGACCAATATACAAAATGAAAGAAAATTGATTTATAAAATAAAAATAATTTTTTTAATTGCTATTACTACGCGATAGGTTCAAGAGCGGCTTAGAGTAAATTGCCGGCTCTCACTACTACTACTACAGGAAATAACTACATCAAGTCACACTACACAAATTGTGGAAAGAGCTCGTCCAAAAATCGTTTTAGCGGTTATAAAAGCCCAATTACACATATAAATATATATATGAGTTCATGATATCGCCTTGTTGAAAATACCAGCATGTTGAGAAAATGTGAGTTAGTACAAATGTAAACTAGTAGCATACCAGTTGGCCACTTGTATTAATCCCCGCAGGATGTGCACAGTAGTCGGTGTGTGTTCGCCTCGGTTCGCCAACCAACATGAATTGACATTGCTCGTGCAAGTGCGACCTAACGTTGTCGGTTGCTGCCTAACGATGCCTGGTTGCCAGGTCACATATGTGGCTAATAAATTGTGTTAAATTAAAAGGAAGCTGTCAGAAGAACGCACTAATGTGTGCCAATACATGTGCATACGAGTAGATGCAAACGTAGGATTTTTCCATATCCCAGCAAAAAACTCGCTTTACTTAAAAACAAATGTGGAAAAATCGAGAAAAAAGTTAGCAGTCTAGACCTGTTTCACCTTAATATGTGCTGCTTTCTAAAAATTAATCATTTCGTGTTTTATTGCCAAAAATGTATAAGGGATAAAATAAAAATTGAATCATAACATTGCTGCGGTAATCTGCCGGGCTTGAACAGTTTTGGCCTTTGATGATAGTCTATCAGTGGAAAAAAAAGTTGAAAGCTGTTTAAAATTTCTGGTATAATTCTTATATTTTGGGTGAGCTGAATCCGAAATGTCTCATTTTGCCGTGAAGCATCATGTTTTTTTTTTGTACGAGGGGGTTAAGAAAAGTTTGGTCAGGTGGTGACCCTCAATTTGTGCTTGTTAAATCTGTAAATACCAAATCCATTTCAATTAACTTAGCAGTCAGACAAAATTCCACCACCATTGCAAACAGAAATTCACCATCTGGAGCTCTTCTGGCTTCGGCGTAGTTTACAGCCGATACAGATATTCAGTGAATGCCAAAATGCATACGGATCGAATGCACCATCGTTAGAGACTATTTCTAAGTGGTTCCGAAGGTTCAAGATTGAACATTTATCCGTAGTGATCGAGCTCCGAAAAGGTCGACTAAAATCTTTTACTGATGACATCACTTAAGCTCTAGTGGAGTCCAAAATTTATGTGAAAATGGTCAGTCTAGTAATTTTAGTAAAGTCGTTCAGGTGAACATCTAAGTACGATCCAGAAACCAAACAGCAATCCATGGTATGGAGCCAAACTGGTGCAATCCCATCCGTAAAATCTAAGCAACGAAAATCCGCTGCAAAAGTAATGACGTCAGTTTACTTCACCCGATCTAAAATCGGAGCTACTATTGCACTGGAAAAGTGTCAGAGGGTAAATGCGAAATGGCACACCGAAGAGTGTTTACCAAAGGTTTCAAAAGTGTGTTGCAAAACATGAAGAGAGAGGATTTGCGGTTTTACTTTCTACATCTTGACACCGCGCCATCCCAAACTGCTGTAATGACGAGTAATTTTTATGTCTGTTATCGAGAAAATACGTCCAGCACTATATTCACCAGATATGAGATCTTGTGATTTCTTGCTATTTCCAAAAATTTAAAATAAATTTAAATAGAATGGTCTTTAATAACAGCGAGGAAATAATTAATGCGCTTAATGCCAAACTTGATAAGCTTGAAAAGCGAGATTTTGAAGACTATTCTTAGAAGGCTGCCTGCAAAAATGCAAAAATTTTATTGGCAGCATTTGGCAGACACACTAAAAGTTGAGTATTATTATAATTTCATTAAAATAAAAATTTTCGTTTTAAGTAATTATAACACTGACACAGGAAAAACCAAATGAGGCTTATACAACAGACTTCAACCTACTTATATATTGTAATATGTGGGCATGTCGTATGAGCAACATTTTATGAAAAGAGGAAAAAACAAGAAATATTGAATTAAATATACATGGATAAGTATGCTTTAGATAAGTGCTTATAAAATTGAAATATACGAAATTTGTGATTGCTTCCCATCCCATACATTTTTTTAACGAAAATTTCAATTTTTAAAATCTGATTTCTTGAGAAAAAAAACCAGAAACAAACACAAAAACAAATTTTACTGAAAATTTCGAATAACTTTACTGAATGAGTTGACAGTCACCGAATATTCGCCTTTGATTGCATTCTCTAAATATATTTTGAGAGTGTTTACATATACATAAACAAATATTTAACATATATGTATGTATGTGCTTTCAAGCAGACTGTTGAAATCATTGCCCTAAGCTCTCAAAAAAAATGACTTATTTGTATAGATGTTGTTATTGCTTTAGTTTGTCACCACATTTACGCCTCCGACAAAACATTTCCCTTCAACAAAATGCTCAACTACAAACTTATGTAATGCCATTCATGCCTATACCCAAAATCGTTCGCAACCGCTAAAGACACGTTTTAATATAAAAAGTTTAAATATTGCAGCAATCTGATATTAGCATTTAGGCGTGCTCCTGTTACATACTTTGTTGCCAACATTCCTACATGCCAATAAAGTTGCGGTTAATGTAACTGCACATACGTACATATGTGTATTAAATTTGTTATTGCTTCCCACCTTATGTATCCCTGTTTGTGTCTATGGTATGGTACGTTTGTGACTGCGCCTTTGCACTATCACATTTATTTGTTAAACTTGAAAGGAATTTATGTAACGCTATGCTATGCGCATTTATAAATATTATCCGCTTTAACTTTTAACCAATGTCAAGGCAAATATTAGTTACCTAAAATTATGCAATATTTATTTAGGACTTGAATAAGTGAATGTTTGTACGTGTGTTATATGTGCAATTTGGGTGTGGTTTCGCTACGAAAGATGGGAGAGTCTATACATACATAATATAGCACCTGGAAATTCGATTCACGTGAATAAAACTGATTTTACTAAATAGCACTTGAAATAAAGCTTCACTTTATACCTTAAATAAGTACTTTTAAGATTAAATTATTATTAAACTAAATGCTTTTGGAGAGAATAACGACATTTTCGATATTAGTCTATGTTTGTAGAATTTCCGCTTTGTAACTGCTGTGCCAATTTGCGGCCGACATTCAACTATAACATGTGGTATTGATGTTTTTCCAACAAATGGTGCATACTCTATGTGTACTAGAGCTCTGAAGGAAGCAATCGCCCAGTAGCGCCCATTTTCATACCTTTTCATTTATTCATTACGACAATCTTAAATGGTTCGTTAATAGCAGAAAAAAAATCTAATATTTTTATCGAATTATTGTGAAGATGAATCAAAAATAGAGTTTATGGGTGAATAGTAAATTTATATAAGAAAAATATATGTTTGTAACTACTTTCACATCTATGCCTATACATATTTTTACCAGCGCATTTTAATTATGCTACAATATTTCGCGCCAAATACCGGCAATTTGTAAATTAGACAAATTGAAAAGTTTTCACTGCGTATTTCAAGCAGTTCTCCATAGTTAAGAAAAGATTTTTCTTTTCAAACTTATTAAATATGAGCCATAATGAGAAAAGTTGCTGAATTTAATTAAAATAATTAAAGTTCGGGTGCAAATGCTTTGATAATACATATTGACAATGGTTTGACGAAGTTATTGAATGCATTGAAATCGAGTTTTCGGAATTAAAAACTGAAATTTCACTGGTAGAGTAAGATATTTTCCACGAGCTATACAAATTTGAGAAATTATTGTTCAGCAAACTGAACTAACAATTGAAATGAAAGTTTCCCGTCATACAAAGCTTGACATTGGAAGGAAATTTGCAATTCGTTTGTGATTTTGTAGACATTTTTGTGCATACAAAAATCTTAAAAAATGATAATAATATTATTCGACTTTTCCATTCAACAGGAAGAATTAAAAACAAAAGTTTGAGTTAATTCAAACAGAAGAATAATATTTTAATGAAATCGTTTGAAGCCAAATTGCGGCTTTTATGAGGGTTGTCCCTCATATTTCGCGATGCGAAAACAAAAACAAATATTAATCAAAGAAAATTGCTATATTTTCCTTAGAGTACTGTCCGTTATGAACTATACACCTTTGCTTCTTCTCGTGAATAACGTTCTGGGAATCTAACCACCAACCATGTCAGCTTAAGCTAGTAGATTCAACTCTACCACGTAGGTATGCCATGTATTTAATGAATCTCACCATGACAGTAAATTAATCACCTCCTGCTAAATAAAAAAAAAAACTCGTTAGGAAAAGGCTTCTTATATTAAAAATTAAGTTCATTTAAATGATTTAATTTTATTTTTCATATCTTTATATGTAGGTATATATTTTTTAATAGTATGATAAAAACTAAAGCATTTCACTGTAAAAAATTTATAAAAAACAACTATCTACACCATACACTTATTTACATATCTTCCCATATATAACTTTGCCTGTATTATTTAATTTTATAAAAATGTATAAAAGTAAGAAATTACAGTAACGACTACTTATATGTAATTTTATATATTATATAATATTATTTATGAATATGTATCCACATTAACCCTTAATATTTAAATATATATGACTTTCATTTTAAGACATTCAACCTAGGTGTTTGACACATTTAAAGTTATATACATACATAAGTATGAATGCATATGTGTGATATAAACAATACTAGAATTGAAATCAAATCAACAAAATAATTAACAACATTGAGGTAGACAAACACTCGGCTGAAGAAGAACAGCACTGTTACCAACCGCTTTATAATTTGCCAGGCGGATAGAATCCGCTCCACACTTTTATCTTGTCCATATTGGGCAGCTCAATAAATTCCAATTCCTCGCCAACATTTAAGCATTTGATTTCACCGACATCACGTGTGATCGGCTCGAATATTAAATTTTCCAACGCATCACAATTAGGGTCACTATTCGCTGCAAAGCTAGTCCAAATATCCACCATGGTGCGTGTTATCTCATACTCTTTCGAGCCCTTGAGCGGTCTGTGGGAAAATAGAGCATAGAACAGATAACAGATATCATCACCGTGACAGGTGCCACGGACATCGCGACCACATAAAATATTACGAATGGCATTGCCATCACGAGAGTCATAATCGAAGCGATAGACGTAGGTGGGCGCTGAGCTATGACGTTGGCGCGCTAGTAACGTGCGGTAGATGGGTAGCCAAAAATCGCGGTATGAGTTTAGCTGTGGAAATACATTAAAATGGAATCTAATGAAGGCAAATTGTTGATTAAAAGACTACTCACATCCAGAAATTGCATCATGGTCTTACGCGAACATTCCTCATTACCAAAATGTATGTCTTTGAGTTTGAGACCACACGCTTCAGCCTTGGCCGAGTCGTCCTGAAGACCAGCATCTGGTGGTAGCAGATTTTTGCAATTCTTCACTTCGTCTAATGTTGCCGGTCGTCGTGTGACTTCTAAAAGCAAAAGAAAATAATCATATTCACTAACAAAAACAAAAAAAAAAAAAAGAAAAAAAAAGTGACATCAGAAAGTAGCTGAATCACCTGGATAAAATATTAAACCCTCAAAGCTGCAGCCACCCATAATCATTGGTATGTCATTGCTCCATGTCTTCTTCAATAACTCATATGGATGTTCGCTTAAAATGCATTGCTCCGTCCAATATGGCTCCACAGTTGGAACAAACGCAAATGGTATTCTATTATGTTTTTCATCCTTTGTCAACACCATACCATTGCCGCGCACAAGCTCTGGACCCTTCGTATTTAATAAAAATTTATAAACATCCGCATCTTCATCTTCCCCTTGGTAGCCCAATGCTTTAGCTAAACGATATGCCCATCGTTTATTGGGTAAATTCGCCCAAGGACATAACGCGCTGCCGGACATGACAATGCCTTTGTGTATCAATCCTTTTGATTGCTCGCTGAGCATACATATATGTGTCGAAGCACCGCCTGCGCTTTCGCCGAAAATAGTTACATTGTTTGGGTCACCACCAAAAGCGGTGATATTTTCCTTCACCCATCGTAGCGCAAGAATTTGGTCTTTTATTCCCGCATTGCCTGGTACATTCAAATTAGGATCATCCAAGCGCAGAAACCCAAAGGGTCCCAAACGGTATGCTAGTGTCACTAGTACAATGTCTTTGTGCATAAAATAATCGGGACTGTACATGTCACGTGTCGCCTCGCCAATTTGAAAACCACCGCCATAAATCCAAGCCATTACGGGGCGGGGTTTCTCAGGAGTTATCTGTGTAGTATAGAGTCTGTTTTATTAGCAAATAATTCTGTAAAACAAAATTTAATGAAGTAAAAGTAAACAGAGCTACAAATTTAAGTCCGACTTCATGCCAGGCAAAAAATTCTGCAACAAAACCAAAAGACTAGTTGGCAGAAAAAAAAAACGGTCTTCCTCCTGATAATTTTTCAGCGAAATGGTAAAAATCAGGAGAGTTAGTCAGGGTGTTTCAAGGACTTATAATTCAAAAGGGTTTCCTCAGAGGAAAAAAGCACTACCGAATACTCCCATTCGAGCAGTCATCATGAGAACTGTAAGCAAACCTATTGCTGAAGGACTAAACGGTCGACCTTTGAAAAGTTAGTTAAAATCTCATAATGCAGGCGGTACGCCCTTTTATGAGTATGCGGCATTACCACTCCTTAATTTGAAACAAATTTTTGCAAAAGTGCACAACTGCTGGAGTGTACCGTTGAGATTATTGATCGTCCTTAAAACCGCGACGTTAGTTAATAATCCTTCTTCTGCCTTGACAGGGAAGCGAAGCGAGTGGGTCTGGTAGTGAGCGAAGACAAGACGAAATATCTTCTGTCATCAAACAAACAGTCGGCATAAATACATCTTTGATCCCATCACGAAGTGAAAGATAAGTTCGTCCATTTACGGACCACCATTTATACCAATACAACTAGTCTTGAAATTCAGAATCACTCTTGCCAGCAGATACTAATTTGGACTGAGTAAGGATTGGAAAAGTAAAGTGCTGTCTTGACGAAAACCAAACTCTGCAAGTCCTCATTATGTCCATTCCACTACTTAGCGCAGAAGCATGAACGATGCCAACATGTGATAAATCGGCTTTGGGAGTTTTCGATAGAGAAGTTTTGTTGGCAATGGCAAATACCACAGAAACGGCAAATACCACAGAAAGAGTTCAACGATGTCATTAACATAGTTCAGCGAATGGAGAGACAGAGGCTGCGCTGACTAGATCATGTCGTGCGAATCGCTGCAGTATCCGTGGAAGACAAAGAAGAGGAAGTCGTACACTCTGTCCGAAGGACCACTTGATATTTCCAATAGACAAATAATGGCGAAAAGAAGAAAGGAATAGAAAGTTATTGTTGATTCCATAAGAGTTCGTGCGCCATGAACTATGTACAGATATTTAGTTCGACGGCCTTAACATCTCTGTATGTGGAAAAGTTGGGTTTGGATTTAGAACAATGAAAAACGAAACTAAATACTCTGATACTCGTTTTTTCAAGTATGAGGGAATGGAGTCAGTGGGCAATCAAAAGTTTCATAGGAAACAGATACAAAGAAGCTGACAAAGAAAAAAATTGTTTCTAAATTTAAAATTACTGTTATTTCATTTACTTACGTTTTTTGTGAATACATTCAGGTATAGACAATCTTCTGATCCTTTATATTTTCGAAATATAACATTTGTTTGCAGCGGCTTCTCTGCAGGACCAGTGCCATCTAAAACACCTTTCCAAGGCTCTGCTGGTACGGGGGCACGAAAACGCAATTCTCCCAAAGGCGGCTTAGCATATGGTATACGCTCGAAACTGAAGTATGAATCACCCCAAATTGTGAGACGCTTAACACCTTTCACATCACCTTTGGTGGTCTTGGCCACCTCATAGATATTGGTTGTGTGTTTACTTTGCTCATATCTAAATTCGAGAGCCCTGAAAACGACACAAAATTGTTTTAATTGCAGAAACGTTACTCAATTATATATAGCGATTTTATGCAAAGTTTATGGGTGACATATTTATGGGTATATTGTGTAAACGTTTGCAAGTAAAACGTGATAAGTCAATAACAAAAACAATTCAAGCATATGTGGTGTATTTAAAGTTGTACAAAGTAATGTAAGTACGCAAGTGTATGTATGTATATACTCCTACATATATACAAAATTAATAGTAAATAATAAATATTTTCGTGTCACCTCTATTTTCTTATGCGTTTTTCGGTTACTTATTGAAAGTATCTGTTATAAGCGTGCCACATAGGGTGGGTCGATTACGATTAGGGAAAAACCTCACAATTGTAGTAGATTTTGCAGTAGATAGTTTTAGTGATCTGTAGCTCGCTGTCTATAAGTGAGATTAGACTGCGGAAGATGAGACGGAGATCAGACCTGTACTGACAACAATTGGACCGTGTGAAGGGCGCTTCCAGAAGCGGCCCATCATTGTCACAACAACACCAGACCTCACACGTTGGCTGTGACTTGCCAGAAGCTTCAAGAGCTTAATTTAGACTTAGACTCCCGAACTCATACTAAGTAATTACCATCTGTTAATTGCTATAGCGAATGATTTTTCCACTGAAGAATTGGCTTCAAGAGAAGTCTGTGAATTTTGATTTTCTCAATTTTTTGCTAATCTTGACCCTTCTGAGGGATGTATAATGACTTTACCTTTCATTGGTTGGTTTGTTGAAGTCCCAAAGCGGGCCAATTGTGATACCACTGAGGATCCCAATGATCTCTATCCGCTAATCAAACCAACAAGTGGAGTCTACAAAGCTGAGCAGCCGTCGCATCTTGGCCCCAGGTATCTGGCTCAGGTCCCTAAAGGTTTCTGCCCCAGAGACTACAAGGTGTTCCTCCAAAGGGCGGGGCATTTGCATCGAAAGTGCGTTAAGGTTTCAGGTTTTACTTCTTCTCCGCAACTTCTGCATAAATCATTGGATGGTACACCCAGTCTCTTTTCGTGCCTGCCAAATAGAATATGCGCTGTTAGGAGACTTATTACTTTAGATATCTCCTTTCTTTTCAGCACAATAGCTGGCGAATTACTATCTTATATTGAGCTTGCATGTGGAGAGCGACATGCCCAGACTCTTCCGTGATGACGAAAGTGGAAGGGAGGGGCCCTTCCTTGCAAGCTCGTCAACTCCGAGCCGAAATTGTGGCTGCAATCAATTGGCACAAAAAAGTTTATCTGAGAACAACGCTACTCTATTTGGGCCAATCTCTAATATATTTATTTCTAAGGAATAAATGCAGAATGAAATTTGCTTGGAACCGCCGACGAAAAGAAATTGACACACCCTTATGTTTTTCCCGATATTCATAGGCAGGCGAGCTTTTGTCAAGCCAGTGAACTTGAGTAGGTATATTTAATGACTTTACCATTCAAATGAGGCGAAGCCAAACAAAGCGGAAAGCACAATAAGCTAAAAAGTAGCAAGCAGAGGCGACAACAACTTCTCCAAGTGTCAAAATATTTGTCTCGTTGTAATTGTTCAAAGACAAATTGATGTAGATAGGTTACTCGCTTTGCTAACTGCTTTCTTCTCGTGACATTTAAAAAACGAAATCTCTTTTTGGAAAGATTGAAACCAAGGCGTACAATTTTTAGCTGATACCTCCTCATATTAGAGTGCCAGTATTCCGCTTATACCATAGCTTCTTTATTTCTTTTATATTTATGTATGTAGTGGAGAATTTGTATGTAAAATATGTCTATATGAATAACAACCTTCGCTTATTTTACGATATTCATTATTCGTATTGCACATGCAACGATGCATTTGCGAAACCTGAATGTACTGACGGTGGCCTCTTTGAAGTTTACTAAGCCGGGCTTTTGATTACATGCCGCTCAATTTGCAAATAAAAAACTAACGATTGTCGGTGGCAACAACATCCACAAGTTATGGGAAGTTAACTTACTTAAAAAACTAAGTTAAATTTTCATCAAGAAGGAAAATCACAAATTGGAGAAGGAGCTCGGGCCGGGTGGACCAAGAAGGTTTCTTCGTACAACAGTCAACAAGCTTAGCCGGTAGAAAATTCTACGAAAGGATGCGACTTGCAGAAGAATTCAAGATCAGAGTATACTCTTGACTTGGACGCAAAGAGATGATCTAGTGACTGATGCCTCTAATATACTGAATTTAAAGCGGCACCCCCGATCTTACAATCGATGACGATGAACCAGTTGTTTCGTTGCAAGGCAGTGAAGAAGCACAAATAGCAAAGGACCCGTATGCCGACTGAGCTATTCAAATGCCGCTTCTAACAAGAGCCTATAGTTAGAGCTACTTATAGTGGAATAAGTTTTTTCAAAAGCCCATAAAATATATCAAACAAGCGTATCATATAAAAAAATTAAGGCTCGCATTAACGACTTGGCTTTCGAACCAGTAAGACCACCATGGACCAGATATTCGGGCAAAATAATCTAAAATATTGTATAGTAGCTTAAAATTGGTGGATTATGCCGAATGTCGATCACCCCAATAACCATGCTATTTGTACTGTTTTTTTTTTTCAAGATTAGATAAGCAAAGAGAATTGGTTTGGTGGTGAACTTGTCTATGTTCGAGATGTACCCAATAATCAAATATCAGTCATGATATTTACGTTCTGTCTCTCTCGTCAACTGTTCGCGTCGAAGATAAATCGTTCATACAATCCTACCATCAGTAACACCCTCATCATTCCCGCCCTGCTATTTGGTGCGAACGCATGTACGATAAAAGCATCTTATGAGACGGCATTAGGAGTTTTCAATTGAAAGGTTTTACGTAAGATTTATGGCCCTTTGCGTGTTGACAATGGCGAATACCGCAGACGATGGAACGATGACCCTTACGAGTTATACGGCGACATTGATATGGTCCAGCGAATCAAGAAGCAGTGGCTACGCAGGCAAGGTCATTTGGTCCGGATGGATTAGGGCACTCCAGCCTTGAAAGCATTGGATGCAGTACCCGCCGGTGGAAGTAGAGGAAGAGGAAGACCTCCACTCCATTGGAAAGACCAGGTATAGAAGGACCTGGCTGTTGGCGCCAAACAGCAAAGAAGCAGAAACGAATGGCGCAAGCGATGTCTACGCCAGTAAAGTAAGTAAGACCCACCAACTGCTGTATGATTCTTGAAATCAAAAAGAATCACTTTTGCTAAAGGTGCAACTTTGGACTGGGTAGTCATTTGAACGTTAATGTCCACTCTTCACAAAGAAAGACCAAATTCCATAAGAATCCTCACAAAGTGTACTGATGAATCGAATTGAGTAATTAAGATTCATTTATTATTCCAGAGAAATTTTCTTAAGGACTATGAAAAGAAAGGCCATTATTTATGAGTCATGGGAATTGGCTTGAATTTTGAATTGTAAGATGCTTTTATTTCACTATATATATTCTTTTAATAAATAGACAAGTAAAAGTATAATAATCAGAGAATTATTTTAGCTACTTCATTGTTTCATTTACCTGAGTCATTTAAAAATCTCTGGCAAAACTGTTTAGACGATCAACAGTTAAATGTATGTGAGTACAATCGCGTGTGATTCTATTAAAACGGGTTTTAGAGTTAATGGAAATGTGCCTTGCTTTTAAAACGATAAGAATTTATAAATAATGCGATTCAACTTTGAAATATATTATTAATATATAGTATACAATAAATTACTAAAGTAAGCCTATTCTACGTGCTTATGTATATAGAATGCAAAAAAATTTGCTTATATCAACATTCCAAAGTTCTCAACCAGGAATGAGTAATTTCTGTCATAACATTTGAATAATCATTACAATTATTTTACTTTAAACTCAGGCTTGCATGTGCCGAAACAGTTTTAAACTTTGTACGATGAAAAGTAATATTTTACTTTAATAAATTTTAATGGTTTACGATTGCCATTGTTTACTTACAATTATCAAATTAATTTTATAATACACAATGCAAATGTTTAATAATAATATGAGTTATGCTTAGTTATGGCTGCAAATTTATTGATGGATACATTTGAATATAAGTTCAGCTCCCAGCTTGCCATTTCACAAATCACTTTTCATCCCTCTCGCTTTTACATCTACGTGTATGAGTGTAGGTATGCAATTGGTTATTGCACTTTTATTGTGATGCACACATTTTTACAAACTTATTGTCGAGCAATAATACCTGTACTTATTAATTGACCATCATTTACATACTAACCAGTGGGGACAACTGTGTCTACGAGTATGTAAGTAAGAATTCAAATTTGTTTGTATAAAAACAATATTTACATTTTTATTTCTTTAAGTATTTTTAATTATCAATAAAGGTTAGTTAAAGTAACGCCACAGCAATAAAATTTTAGTTTGGTTTTTATTATTCATATATGTTATAACTGAAAGGGGCTAAATGACGAGTTAAGTTTATTTAAGTCCGTCAGTTTGCGAGAAAACTTGTTCTCTAGCTTTTCACATATTTCATCGATCATTTGTCGGTACCGGCCCGATCGGACTACTATATCATATCTATTCGACTGATATTTCATAATTGATATTTTGGGTCATGAATTTGAGAAAAAAAAATCATATAAGAGCATGGAATTTGGTATTTAGAACATATATAATGAATTATACAATGGTACTGATAATCTTCGAAATCGAACGATTACAACAATATGGGGGCATACACCGATTTTTTTTTGATATGAAATTTTCGGCCAAAAGTCCGTCAAAAAGCATCGAAGATCACGAAATTTGTTATAATTTTTTAAATTGGCAGACATGCTCTCAACCAATTGATATAAGGAATCATACGGAACTTACAAAATATTCAGGTGTAGAAAGCAATAGTTTGTTAAGTGTCCAGATTTGCAGCGGATCAGCGACAGAATGTGATACTTGTATAGAGATTTTAAATTTAACGGGTTTTTAAAACAAAAAAAAATTA